CAACGAGCAGAATCCGTCCGGCGGCCGCTTCATGCCGACGAGCAGCCCCGTCGCGTCCCCATCCTTGCTTGCACTGCCCCGACCCACCGAGACTAACCCAACGGCGCCCAACACGCACGCTTTCCCGCGCCGCCGCGCTCCGCTCCACTCCCACTATGCAAGGGTGCACCCAGGGTTTGCCAGGGCCGCAGAATAAATGCACTCGCTGCAGTGCAACCCACGTCAGCCCATGCACCTATTCAATATTGCAATTCCCCAATCCTCAATTTATTTTCATTTATTTATTTATTCATAAAGTGGAGAATTTTTATTTTCAGTCAATTCAGATTTTTTACGGACAAATGTGTATTATTGCTTGTCCAAAATTGTTAAAAAAACCTTTAACATGTTGATTTTTTTTTATTCAAACCAATATCCTTTATCTTTGGCCAGGAAAAGGATTGATTTCAAAAGTAAATATTGCTGAATTGCAAGCAAAACAATCAATTTTGAATTTTTTCAAAAGCAAAAATTAAAATTGAATAATTTTCTGTGTACAAATAATAATTATTTTATTATTTATTATATAGATGAAGTTCAATTCCTATAAAACTTTGCATTTGTAAGATTGCTGTTCTTCGGAATTAAATTTTTTATTTCATATAAAATTTTCTATTTTACTCATTTTTTAATCTCTTTGTTCATGAAATTGGGTTGCAAAACACGATCAAGACAGAGTTTAATTGTTTCTCAATAAAAGCAATTCATTATTCTACAAGGACTAGAAATCGATGAAAGTATTTTTAGTGCCCATCTCTTGTTTGATAATTGCGTGAATTGGAATTTTGAATTTCTTCTTGAAATCAGTGTAAATTCAAATTACTTACAATTCCTAATATTTATGCTTTTAAAATTTACAACGTTTAATATCTGTTGGAAGTAACAGAAATTCCTCTTTCTTTATATTGATTATGACATTTTCCCTTTCGTAACCGTCCAAATTTATTTTATTTCCCCATCAGGATCGGGTTGCAAACTAAATGTTTATTTAGCGTTTCAACCTTTTCTTTTCGACGCCGGTTGGTTTTGGCCAACATCCAAGAGAGAACTTCCGAGTTGTTTGTTATTTATTTTGATAAAAAGGCAATCAGTCTGCGCTTTTTATCCGAGCGGAAATACTAATCAGTGTGGTTGCAGTTATCCAATTACCGCAGCGTTTTTTCCCCCTTCAAACCCTTTTTTTTATCAAACTGTGTAAACGTCAATTTATGAAAAGTGTTTCTGTCGTGTGGGCAGATTGTGAATGTCAACTTCTTCAGCCACGCGTGCAATTCGTGAGAATCATTCACACTGCCCACGAAATCCGTGTGGGCAAAAGCGCCGTTGCTCAATGTGCAGGTGCAATAAACTCTTGAACTGGCACCGTGTCAACTGCACCTTTGAGGGCCTTGTTTTCGAGACTTATATTTATTTCGCTCGTCCTCTTGACATCTTTGTGTCGCTCATTTCGAGGCGATTACCCTTTTGCAACAACTCGTCTCTTTTCAAGAGCAGACACGTGCATAATTGTCGTTGCACCTGTTTTTGCATTCAGCGACGAACGCTTGCGCCCCAAGCTCGACAGCTCGGCGGTTTAAATAGTGTGGATGTGACACTGCAGCATCATGTACTGCACAAAACGCCGCTCGTAAATAATAAATGCAAAAGGGATGCAAGCGACAAAATGTTGGCCACCTCACTACACTGAATTTGTTTTTATTTTTTATTTTTTAATTGTTTATCCCTCTTGGGAAAGGCACCAACAATTTTTTTTTTTTTTTTTTTTTTGAACAATTTCCATTGCTCTATGATACAATTTTAGAGTTCAAAATTGCTCTTTTTTTCCAAATGTTTAATAATTAAAAATAATCTGAAAAATCTATTATTGAGAGGGGGGAATTAGAAAATTTCAGATTAAATTAAAAATTATAACTTTTATACTAATTGCATGAACGCGCAAGGATTGTAAATTTGACAATTCTAAGCTTTTGGAATATAAGAAGAAATAAGGGTTAGTTCGATATTTTTTATGGAAAATTATTTGGAAATAAGCAATTAAAAGATGAGGTCAAAGGTTAAATGGAATCAATATTTGAACTTTTTTAATGAAAAAAAAAATACTAGCAAGAAATTTTCTGTAATTATGATAGCTAGAATATTCAACTCTTTCCCGGAGGATGTTAAATTGATTCAAGATAAAAACTAGTCTATTTGTAAAATTAGAGAAATTGTGAATAAATATCATTTATGACATGAATGAATTTGAATTTTTCATCTGTAACAATATTAAATGTAACTTAACTGATAAGAATCTGATTGACCTATGTACTTACAATTGTCGATAATTTAATGAAATAAATATTATTCTGAATCTAAATCTGAATTTAAAAGTCCAACAAAGAAATTTCTCCCAATTTGAAAATAATGTTTTATACTGATTGTTTTTTTTTTCACTTATTTTGTAAAAATTTCATTACCTTAGTTTTCCGAATGGTTAATGGCTACTTTCATTATCTAAACTAAAAACTAGCACGAGAAAATAGACACTCTCAAGAAAATTAGATAATTCAATGATTTAGCTGCGCATTAATCCCGTTATTCACAGGATACACTAATATTATAATTTCTTGTTTTTAAAAACGTGCATGTCCACGTGAGGTGTCACCAACAGAGAGTTTATAGCGTATCACGCACGCAAACCCGCCGTTATAAATAGGTCGCAGTAGTAAATAAAAAAGAAAAAAAAAGAAACGCGCGTACAAACGTTTTGCATTAAAAAAGACGGCGTGCACTTAAAGAAAGGGCTCCTTTATTTAGAGCCTCTTGTGCGGCGTAATGAGCCGGCGGCCGGGTGCGGCTTGAGAAAAATTCGCTCGGGGGTCCCGATCGGGCCCCGGCCGGCGTGAGGGGGGCGGGCGGGGCGGCTCAACACGATTCGAGTGGGCCTAGTCGTGGGTGCCGCCGCCGCCGCGGGGTTCGGCAATGGCAGAGAGTGTAACTGCTGGTGGCAGAGATATGCCTGCTGCCAGACCCGGCCAAACGCACTATTGATTTGCCTGGCTGTGCTACCAACCAACCGACCGACCGACAGACCGCCCTTGCCGAGCAACGTCCCCTGCCTGATAGTGAGCTTACTTACTGTTCACCACCGTCATCGCCCCCTGCGAATGCACTTTATACCAGCGCTGCGCTCACCCCCAGCAGACAAAAAATTTTTGTGCGAATTATCATTGTTACCAAGAGAGAGAAAGAGAGAAAAGGAAAAATTGGCGCTGTCCAAAACGGTTCACGCTTTTTGTTCTTTGTAGGAGCAAAAAGTAACGCGCTCAGTTCCAGCTTTTTATCACCCGGATAAATTAGTTCAAAAAAATTGGTTCAAGCTATTTTTTGTGAGAAATTTTAATGCGACATCCGACATTAATTTCTCTTGTGAGATTTCGTCATTTTTTTCCGTGTGAGAAGAGTTCCAAACAGAAAATAGAATTGATTGGTCTGCTCCAACCTTGGTTTAATTTTAATTTCAGTTACCACTCTTTTTAAAAGATAATTATGTAGCAAAAAAATAAACTTATAAACATGCATGTTAATAATTTGTTAATATGGGTGTGTTCTTTTGAAATTTTTTGATAATCATATTCAATGTGTTGTCTTAAATTTTGAGTTTTAAATAAAAACATTAATTTTTTGGAAACAGAAATCCAAATCTGTTTTGAAAAGAAATTAAAAGAGTTGAAATTTTGACATTTTAATTTGTTTTCCAAGCATTGGTTTTCTCGATCAGTTTCTGAATCCGCGTAAAGATTTCATTTGAATAATAATCAACTTGTAATTTAAAATTACAAAAAATTTGACGTTTTAATTTAGTCTTAAATTTGAGCTAGTCTTCAAGTCTTGATCGCCTAAAATAAAAAATTGCCGAAAAACGGAATTTTATAATTTATAATAAAAAATTTGTTTATGAATCATCTGAATTCTTTGAATATATTTAGAGAAATTAGATCCCACAGAAAAACGGTTTAAATATTTTTCTCCTAATAAACTCGGTATTTAAAAATAAATTAATTTGGCAAAAATTAAAGGGGTTTTCAAACAAATTTATGGCAATTAAACTCCGAAAAATATTCACCTAAATTTCATTGCAAAATTCAATTTTCACAATTCATTTTTTTATACATTCCTGTTATTAATCTTTTTCATTTTCATTCCATGAAAAAATTGAAACCTGTTTTAAAAAACGTATTTTTTACAATCTTAATTAATATAAAAAATTACTTCTTGATGGAAAAAAAGCTGGAAACAAATGCGAGCATCTGAGTCCAGTATTTGACGCGAGCGGTATGGTGGGCGGCGAAAGATCAATTTGGCAATTATCATCGCCCGAGGCAACTTTAATCTCATTCTCTCGGAAGGAGAAGTTTGCTCTCGAGTTTGTTGTGTGTGCAGCGTGCACGGGAGAGAGAGAAAGAGAGCGGCGCAAAAAATAAATCGTTACATCTCAACTTCCCACACAGAAAGACGGAAATAATTTATTCCGGAAATCAAGGAAATTCGCAGGTAGTGTATAAACGCCCATTTAAAAGTGGACCGAGCTGGAAAAAAGTATGTTCCGTCGTGGCGGTTGATCCTCTCTCGGCTGCGGAATATTATGGATGTATATTTTAAAGCGGCTTCCTGTGTTTGTTTGCTCGTAAAACCGCCGCGCCGCGCGCGCGTATGTTTTTGCCTCTCGCGCGCACTAGATAAGTTAATGATTCCCACTGGCGAAGTGCCGGCAAAAAGCGGCGGCCCGCGCGCGCATCCCACGCGCGAATCAAATAGCAAAGGTTAGAGGTAAATTCCGCAGCCGCGCCTTTAAAGTAAACACGGCGAATTTAATGCCACGCTACGCAATCAGCAAACGGTCCCACGCTCCAAGTTTTAATGTGCGGCCCACACACCTCATTATCAACACCAAGTCAAATGAAAGTGATCACTTTGCCTACCTTTTCAGAGTCGGTGGTGTGTCCTGAGCCGAAGGACGTCAAAGAGCCCCTATCCTGACTCTCGTTGTCCTCTAATGACGTTGAGTCTTCCATATCCCTGAAAACGATCGAGAATCTTGGTTAATTTTGTTTTATTAAATTCCCTTATAAGTGATAAAAATGTATTTTTAATTGCAAAGATTTCATTTTCAAATTACTTTTTTTGCCTTGAACTCATCTATAATTTATCATTTTTAAATAACTATTCAATTTGGTTGCAATTTCACATTACCTGCTTGTGCGCTGACTGTTGCCCTTTGTCCTGGCAGGACTTCGTGGAAGACCGATTGGCATCACAGATCCAAAGAACGTTTCTTGGATAACTTCCCGTAGCTTCTTCACCCAAGTTTGTTTCGCCTCCAGTGAAGAAGCCTTTCGAAAAAAAAGCAGTTTGAAATAATTTCCAATTTCCTATAAAAATTACCTTCAGGACTATTCTCTGATCAGACATCATTGGAGCTCGTCCAGTCCAAACTGCAAATTTGCATTCATCACCTTCAATGTGTTCGGTAACTCCTGCTTCTGACGTCTAAAAAGAAATGGCTTGAAATTGATTTCTCTCGAAAGAATTTTGGAATTACCATGATTTTGTGCTTGTAAATGTACTTGGCCCTGCCATTAGAGTCTTTCACTTCTTTGCTGAAGAGCAGATACAACTCAAACAGGAAAAGATGGCGCTCTCTTCCTTTGCGAATCAACTGTCTCGGGTCCCACACCTGCCACAAAAATGATGGATTGCTTATTACTTGCTGATAGGATATAGAGTTGCATACCTGGAAGGTGTCTTGCAAAATGACTTCGCCCAATTTGTCAATGGAAACGTCACACCCCTCGAGCAAGGACAAGTGCATGGCGTCGTTTGCTTTTTTTGGCACATTAAGCATCACTTCCAAACCGTCCTATAAAAATACCCAATCAAATATTTGTCAAAATAAATAAGCTTAATATAAATTAATTTTTCTTGTGCTTTTAAATTAATTAAATTTGGAAAAAATAATAATAACCTTGATTTCTCCTTGTCCTTCATCACAGCACCCCTGGAGATCTTTCAGCAAAAGTTGGTACTTTGTTATTCGCTGCACCGGTTTAATGAGATAGGCAGCAATGGGATGCTCGATGTGGTGCTTCTTCTGGAGATCCTCGAAAAATGAACCGCCGTGTGTGACTAGAAGTGAGTTTGACTCTGGTTTGTTGCGGCAGTACTGGACGTACATGTCAAATTTGGCAGCCTAAACATCAATTTTTATTATAAATTAATTTTTTTTTTAAAGAAATTATTCCAATTTTACCCAAGTTACAAAGCAATGGCCCACATCCTCGGGCATCGTTTCGTATTTCTCCAACTCTCGGAGAAAAATATTTTGGTGAAATTCAAGGATTTCCTCCATGTTTCCAAACAGGATGTCCTCTTTGGCTTGAATTCCCATAGGCGCCGCTGTCGGACACTCTCGAAGCTCATCCAAAAAGCATCGGACACAAATTTCTAAATCTTTGACATAAGTCCTTTCAGTCTGCAGCAATTCGGCCATGATGAATCTTAAACAATTCACGGATTAGAATAACATGAAATGGTGTAAATTTATTTTAAATTACTCCTTCCTTCTGGCAGATTTCCTCTTTTCCTCATTCAGCTCTTTCAATTCTTTGGCAGCGATTTCTTTGACACGAGATTCGAGTGAGGGGTCGGAGCCCCCGGAGCTCTTTTCCAGAGACAGATCTGCTTTTTCAGCTTCTGCCTCTGACAAAATGCCTAAAGCTCCTTCAAGTTGAAGTCTAAAAAAGAGACAATTTCCATTAAATTTTAAGCAAAACAAAAATGAAGCATAATTTAAGTTGAAATAGTCTAAAATGTAAATATATATTTTAATAATTGAGGTGGAAATAAAATTTATATATATTACCTATACTTGTCCATGCGAGTGCTGAAGTCCTTGTAACGATTGTCCACAGCCGTGACCCACTGCTTGATGGAGCCAGCATGGAAATGGCCTTGCTCCACCAAATTCTCTGCCAGTTGTTTGAGCAGCTTCACCTTTTCCCGTGTTTCCTGCAAGTGACAAAGTTGCACATTAGAATGCGAATGTTGTTGGGTAAACAAGCGATTTCTACCTTGGCTGTGACTTTGAACTCGTTGTGCTCCTTGAGTAACTGTTCGGTTTCAGCTCGATTGTTTCCCACATGGGTGTGAGTGCTCAAATAGAGTTCTCCAGTTTCTCTGATCCATTTCAACGCTTGCTGAGCAGACCTCTCTAACAAGACATACTGCTGACACTGGTCTAGCCGTTTCTTTCTGTCAGCCCAGTGCTCAAGCACTCTCGTCTCTTGTGACAAAAGGCGCTCCAAAGTGACTGCAAATTGATCAATCGATGAAAAATTTTTACTTCATGGTTATGTTAATCACAATCTGTTAGACTAACTTCCTGAAGATAAAAATTATAGCATTAAAAAAAATATATATCAACTTATTCTTTTTCCTTATTGGGTCAAGTTCGTAAAATTAATTTGATTATTTTAATCATTTAAAAAAAAAAATTTAAAATAAAAGAGAATTTTAATTAAAAATTCAACAATGTTCCCTTAAAAAAAATATTTTTACCTTGGACTTTGGCCTTAGAGTTTCTGGAACTGGCATCAGGCTGTGAGTTGTAGATTTGCTCGCTTCGGAGGGAGCACTTGAGGAAGGTTTCGGCGTTCCTCCTGGCCAGGGTGCACCCTTTCAGGAAGGCCTCCTTCTTTTCCTGGTGCTTTGCTATCAGTTGCGCCAGACCAGCAACTTTATCATTGTTAGGGGCGCTTGCACAGAGATCCTCATCTCGACGGTACTCCCTCTCTAGACTGTCCAGAACGGAGCAAACCTGGGAAAAATTTGGCAATTAATATCAGGAAAATGTGTTTAATTTCATACTGATAGGACGGGGAGCGATTTTCTCCGCTTCATGTTTGCAAGCGAAAAGTACAATAAGTTTATATAATGGTAACGCCGGCTTCCTGTTTAGATTTCTCTCACAATCCAGCGCAACCACTATCATACGCTCGTTAGGAAAAAGCCGCAAGGATTTTTGTCAAACGGACTTGTTGTTTTGTTTAATATCCCACATGGTGTAGGTCGAAGACACCTTGGAAGTGGAACTTACATTTTCTGCGGTTTTGAAGAAGCGAACTGCAGCCTGCGCGAGCCGGTGTCGTTCTTCGGCAATACTGACTAGGTTCTGCCACCTGGTGGTGACTTCGTCTGAAATGTTCCGGACGCTTTGCGGGTCAAAGTGGTTGGCGCCGATCAGCGCGTCGGCTCGCATTCGGATCTGAGCCATCGAGACGTGCGTTTTCTGCAAAATAAAATTGCAAAAAATAAATTCATTGAATTCAATAAGATCGGTACAGGTTGATTTCAGCAGCATGTGCCAAGGAGACTGAAGGAGATCGCAAAAGGAAACTCGCAAGACGAGCCCGACAACATTTGATTTGGTTAGGCGGAGAGCAGTGGGATGCAAGAAGTTTCCAAGAGATGCACACGCATATCCTATTTTAGTCACGTGCAGTTTGGGAAAAGATTTTTTAAACTGGAATTTCTACAATTGCGGTTGACAAAATAATTTTTTTTTTTTAGATTATTTTATTTTGAAATGCGATCAACACGAAAATTAAATTCTCAAATGAAATAAAGTTAATGTCAATCAAAAAAGCCAAATTCCAGGTAAAATAAGATAAATCAAGGTATAAAAATGCTCACCTCAATTGCAACTTGAAATTGTTCGTGTTCTTTCTTGAGCTGTTCCGCTTCGGCCAGATTGCTCGGCAGAGAGAAACTGGCCTGCAGCATGGCCTCGCCGTTCCGAATCCAGCTGATGACTTGATTGGCGTCGCTCTGGAACTGACCCAACTGCAGGGCCTGCTCCAAACGGACGCGCCGCATTTCGGCCAGGTCCTCCAGATCCATTTCCTTCTCGTGCAGAAACTCGAGGAGCACCTGGACGCGAGTCTGCGCTGGAAACTGGGCGTCCGCCATCACCGTCACCCCCGATGACTCCATTAGCTGATGAGGAAAAATGGAGAGATTTGTTTAATTTTGTTCTAGATTGTTTTCATACATATATTCATTTTCTGGATGAAATAGATTTTGATTTATTAGGAAATATAATTTATTCAAAGAATCAAATTGATTGCAGTTTTCCAATTTTATTTTTATATGGTTTTTCATTTTGAAATTAAAAAAAATTAATTTTTATTTATTTCAGATTTACTTGTTTGAATTTTAAGGGCTGCCTAATTTAAAATTGGTCTTGTATGTCAGTGTCAAGCTATAATTTTTGTGTGGGCAAGAAGCAACCTTGGCATATTTTCCTCTCTAACGATATAAAAATATTACGACCACTAATTGCGTTGATGGCGGTGGAAAAAAAGGTTCTGGTACGTATTGGTGTGCGAATAAATTAGTATTGCTTTTAAATTGTTATCAGGCGCCCACGGTCGGGGCGAGAAGGCCGTCCGAGCCACCCACCTGAGCGAGTTCCTGGCCGCGCTGGAGCACCTGGAAGGTGGTGTTCTGCATGTGCTGCACACTCTCGTTGTGGAGTCGCAGCAACTGCTCGGCCTTTTGCACATCTCTGCTCAGCTCGCTCCTCTGAAGCTCCTCCGCCCACATTTCCAGTTGGGACGACACCTGCAACAAAGCCAAATCGCGACGGTCACTCGACGCCCATCTACCTCATTTGCATTCCAACACCATTAATTTTCACACCTTCAGACAATTTGTATTAACAAAATAATTATGCGATACAAGAAAAATTGTATTTAGATGAATATTTTAAGTCTTATGAGTTCAGGAATATTAAAATTCCATCAGTTTAAATGCCAAATAAAATTTGATTTTTTTTCCTACTGTTTTCGAAAGAATTAAATAACCTTCAAAATATCTCTCCAATAAAATTTTGCACTTTGAGAATTTCAAATTTTGTTAATTTTTTATGGAAAATATAATATAATTTTTTAATTCATTAATACTTAACAAAAACATCTTATCTGATGTGAATCTCATTCTTAATTTTTTTTTTTTTTTTTAATACCATTCCTTTTCTTCATTCTCAACTTTTGTGAAAAATAAAGGACAAAAGTTTGTCAACAGTGCGTGGCCAAAAAAAGCAGCACAGACGATTCTCGCCCGGCGTGCTAATGAGCAAGGAAATCCTTTCATGGCTAATCAAGGCTGAAGGCGTGTCGACGTCATACTCTCTCATTGTTGGATGTGTACAATAATTTTTTTTTTCACATGGTACATCAACCCCCGACCAACGAGATGTGGTAATTAGCGGCCCCTCAAATATGGATCGGGTTTCCTACCTCAAGGGCATCGCGTTCGAACAAACGCAGCTGCAGACACAAATCGAGGCGCAGCCGCCGCGTTGACCACAACTGCTCCAGTTCCTCCCGCTGCTGCCCCAGTCGCTCCAGGGTGGACTCCACGGCGGCTACCGACCCTGTCGCGTCCATCTCGGGAGTGACACCAGCGGCCCTGCAAAAATTTGACGCAAGAAATTAGAAAAAATTTTGTAATCATTGACTTTTAATTTAGTGAAGAATCCAAATTTTTTCAAAATATTTACTTGTTAATTTTGCCAACTCTGTAAATTAAGATTGATGGTTTCATAGTTTTACTTCATGATAAATTCAAGTAAATATTCAAAATTTATTGGGGAAAACTGATATAAATTTATGTACTTAATAATTTTAACAAATAATATGCCGTATTTTTAAGATACAAATGAATAATAGCAAAATATTATATTTTATAATTAACTAAAATTTTTTATTGTGTTTTTATTTAATTGCAAGATAAAATAAAATGAAATTTTGCAATTTGTTTTATTATTTATTTATAATATTTTTAATTTTTAAATGCTTTCAGAAATTTACAATCAAGTTCAAAAAGGTATTTCTTTCTGATTTTTTTTCTTTGAAAAAAAAACCAAAGGTTTTCAATAAAATATAATTAGGAAAAAGTTCAGCTTAATAAAATGTATAGATTTCCTGTAAGGTTAATTGAAAGATTTCCAGTCTTCTTAAATTTTGATAAAAGGGAAATATAATTACAAAGCTTGTCAAACGACAATTATTGCACTTCCAAGGATATCCGAGCTTTTTAACGAGAATGGCAGTGTCATTTTCGCCTTTTCCAGCATTCAAATCCGGTCCCTTTTAGCAAATGTCAAGAGTCGAGAATACAATTTAACCTGGTGCGCGGCTTTTCACGGTGCCAATTAAGACGCCATTAGCGCCGGGCAGAATTAATTAATAATGATGCGGCTGCGTGCTCGAGAAACGGGCATTGTTGTCGCAAAAGAGTCGCACGTCGGCGAACCGCAGCACGGTGGCGAACAGCGTAACCCAATATTGCGTGTTGCAAAGAATTGTTTACAAATATATATAAATATTACAAACAACACGGACTGCTGGGATTGGGTTTCAGCGATCGCCAGGGATGGGAAAATCACTCAGGTGTATGTTTATTTTTGTTTTCAGTTCGCAGAAAAAGTGACGACCTAATGACAGGCGCGGTTTATTTGTTCCATGCATTCCTTATAAAAAAAAATGAAAGTCAAGTATTCATTTGGTCTGGGAACCTTTTTGTAATAGAAAGATACTATTTTTGTCTGTGCTTGTTTATGCAAAAATTCCGACTGTTCTTTATTTTAGTCGAACTACTAATTTCATTGAAGGAGGTCACTGTACATAAAAAAAGATTGAAAAAAAAACAAACAATGGGGCTCTTTGATGTAATATGTGATTTAGCGAAAGAATGGGAAGCAGCTCTCGGGAGAGTTCTGAGGAATATGACATTGTTTTATTTTTATAACATCCAGTAGATGGGAAGATTATTTTTAATGATAGAAAAGAAAGTATTGCTAAAAATTTAAATAAAAGTTTGCATTGTCCAAAATGATTCTGTGTTTTAATTTTTGGGATTCAACTGATTATTAATTAATGGCAACTTTAAATTAAATAAACTCTTGTAGAATTGAATAAAATTTAGTTAGAGTATCAAATTAACGTTAAAAATTTATTATCTTTATAAAATCTAGAATTTTCAGGATAATTGTCGAAAAATTTGAAGCGCAAAAACCATATTAAATCGTCCAAATCAGCTTTGTAAATATTTTCAAATATAATTTTTATCTTTCATTGCGGAAACAAGTATTTAAAACTACGCTTGAGGAAGAACATACAAGTTTAAAAAGATCTTGATTTTAGATGAAAGTAAGTGTTTGAAAATTTTTTTTACAAGAAGTTTAGAATTTTAATTTCAGGTAAAAGATAAGCTTTGAAAATTAAAAAAAAAAGAACTGCAATTTGATGAAAATTTTATTTTTCAGACTGGATTTAGAAAATAAAAAAAAATTTGTGATGTAAATAAAATGCTGCTTTTCAAGAATTAAATAAAAAATGAAATTGGAAATTTTGGCACGGGAAAATTTTTACAAAATCATTGAACAATAATTTTAATTTGTTTGAAGAAATTGACACTCATGGTGATGGTCATTGGAATGAAGGAATCAGGCTTTTCCTTGTTGCAAAAATTGTTTTTATTCAAAAACTAAACGGCCCCTACCAGCTTTGGTCACGGTTTGCAACCCTATTGCATGAGCAAGAGAAATACAAATTATCTGCAAAAACAAATTTAATAAAAAAAATTTGCAACGAGGAGTTATTTCTAACAACTTTTATTTTGCCATAAAACTGATAATTATAGATTAAAAAAATTGAATACTTTTGCACTTTAAATGCATTGTAAATTAAATCCTAATCATATTATTTATTTTTTTACCACAACTAACTCGCCCCGAGAATAAATAAACCATTTGACTTGATGGCTTATCAATCGCCCTACCCTGCAAATAGAACGTGCAAACGGACTCTCCCTGCAAATTGGAGAAAAATCACCACGCGCGTTAGATAAAAAATTCATTCCGTTTCAACGACTGCATGACGAATGAAAATGAGCTTTTTGCTAGCGAGTGTGCACAGATGGAAGATAAATTGCGAATTACGAATTCCGGCGGCATTCGGAGGGACACACCTGTTCAGCAGGCCGAGCGACTTGGATTTGCTCCTTCGGGAGAGTTTGGCGGCGCCGGGCGTGCTGCGGCGACGATGCGGCCAGATGAGGTGTTGAGGCCGTTTGCGGGCCCGAGGCCGCGAGTCGGGCATGTTTGGAGAAAAAAAATCACCAGCAAATTGAAAGAGACGAATTATGTCACATTTTTTTCTGCTCCGAGGCGCTTCGCACGCCGACGCCGAGCGGACTGGAAGACCGAAGGAAGCGCGGAACCGTTTTGAATTATTAATATGAGGTGCGCGTGACGCGATTTAAGGCTCGGACGCCTTTAAAAAAATAATCAGAACGACGGCAGCTGACGTCACACGCGCACTTAATTATTGTTGTTGAGCAATGCCAATTGTTATTTGATTGAACGCCGGCCGGCCGGGTTTCTTTTCCAGCTTCGTGACTAATTTATCTGATGGTGGAGGCAGATCCGACGCAGCCGATTGACACCACATTTGGAAACAAAACAGCACTTGCAGTGCTGATTGTGTCGAGACAAAACGGAGAATACTCCTTGGTTCACTCAAAATTTGTGATATAGAATAAAAACGAGGAAAACGTATGAAAAAGCTTGCAAAAAAATTTCCAAATATTATTTTAATCACGATAATGCAATATTCATCTTGACAATTTATATTCATTGAAGGAATCACAACAATTTCTCAAATTAAATTTGTTTAAAAATGGTGGATTTTATTTATCTATCATAGGCATGAAACGTACAGACATATCAAATTTAAATTATTTCTTAAATGAGTTTCTTTTTTTTAAGTATGCCTCATTCATGGTGTTTTGAATTAGAAATTCAAATCACCATGAATCAACCCTCGATCGTGAACTTCAGCTACAAAAATACTTCATTTAGTTTTAAAAAAGTTTCAGGAGCCTTAATCTTAAGAAATTCTATAAAATTTATGTTTCTCCCAAATTTAAACAACACAACCTATGCTCAAAACAAGTTTTGCTACTTTAAACCAATAATGTGTATGAGAATTTTCAATTTACAAAGACAGCGTAATTTTTTTCCTTCATTACATTGATAAAATGTTAGTAAACATAATTTTGAATTCCCGAACGCAAAAATCCCGCTCAAATATAATTATTTTTCCTTTTTTCAAGTGATTTTGCCACTTCAGCCAATGTTGGCAATTTTGCACGAACGGTATAAACTATCAAACAAAAACACGTCAAACACGGATACAAACCTTTTGGCCGGCACAACCACGTTTTTACTACTTATTTATTTACGTGAATCCCCGTCGCCACTCGACGTCCTGTTGAATGAACGCGACTCGCAACAACGCCGAGAGTCTCTCGAATGTGTCCACCTGTTTTTTGCACGCTTTTGATCGTGCACCTGCCGCTGCCACTGCCCATTATCCTCCCACGGAAAAGAGTGAAAAATACACAGGCAGCAATCAATCGGCGCGGCCATTATTGTTTGCACTCGATGGAACGAAAAAACGCGAGTCGGCAAAAATCACATCTCATTTATATACCGCAATCAATGCTTTTCGTTCTATTCTCTTTTGCTTTTGTAATGGGAAAAAAATATTAAAAAAAAAAAAAACTCGGCGTATCAACAAAAAGCATTGAGTGGAATGAAAGAAGAAAGCGCGGGGTGTCTCCCCAGAGAAATAAGCAAGCCTTGCTCTTTGCGGCCGGCGAGTCGCGAGTTGGAAAATAATATACAAACTGCACGCTGACAAGTTTCAACACCGCAATCTTTGTCATTCCAATTCACGAGCGAGTAACACAAGTGACGAGAAAGAGGTTTCGGACAAAAAGCTAATTGAATTCGGGTCGCATAGAAGTACCGTCGCGTTTTTACAGACGAGATGTTTGAACAAATTTTTAGCGTACGGACTTTTGCAGGATGTTCATTTTTACTTTTCCGAGAAAATTGCAAATATGAAAGTTCACATTTAACATTTTTAAATTACTTTATAATAATTCACCTTTTGTTTTTAGTTTTTAATGGAAAAAGGGTGAAATTTATTGTTAAATTTAATAAATTTCTATTTTCAAAACTCAAACGAATTCAGAATTCATGAAGTGTTTCTTTTTAATTATTTTAATTCATTATAGGATTTAAATTATTATTGTTGTTTATTTGTCAAAATTGTTACATCACATTGTTTACTTTCAATCGTTGAAATTTTAATTCCTCAAAATTACTTATATATTTTTTTTTTCGTGAAGTTTTTCTTCAATTGGATCATTGTTAACATTTTCCTTCATTGGAATAAACAAAAAACATTGCATTCAACGCCCACAAAATCAATAACAATTATCAGAAAAACTTCCCTTTTTTTAACGAAATTTGTTTTCAATTCATAAATTTTTCATTCATTTGAATTGCATCTAAAATAAAAATTATTTATATTATTTGGGCTGAACTGAATTATGATATTTTTCTTTTAAAAGAACTTGGATTTTATACAAAATTTAAATTACTGTTCTCAACCTTGCAATCAAAACGCATGTTTTCCATGAACCTGTCAATCAGACAACCTTGGAAGTGCTCTCGAATCGCAATTTTCCGGCGACACGCGCCATCAGAAACAATAAGAGTGAACATCACACAAAGGTCGGCGAGTTGCAAACTTTTCAAGTGAGGTGTGAACCTGACATCAGCCAACATTGATCCGCTCGCATTTCAATCAACTTGAGCAATTACGCTGGGGTCGGATGACGCGAGTGACGTCATTCGGTCTCTCGTACCTGCCCCGTCAATACACGGCTGCACGCGCGTATTACAACGACAGCAAATTCGAAACTAGCGGTCCAGCCGAGCGAAATTCGTTCGGCGCAGGAAAAACGGTTCTCCGTGACGGGAATTAGTTTCGGCGCGGGTCCAATTAAAAGCGACGGCACCTGTTCGCTCTGCCCGGTTCAATTTGAAGGGTTGCGAGATCAACATAATAACGAGGGCGAAATTGAAACATTAATCGTTAAGACCTTTGATTAATTAATTTTGTAATTAAAATTATAATTAATTAAATCTGTCAATTAATTTTCGTTCGCAATTTTAAAACTTAAAGGTCATATTGAAAAACCGATCAAAACAATGAAAAAATTTAACTTTCAATTTTGATTTTTTTAATTTTTGAACCAATTTTTAAAATCCATTCCATTTGGATTTTATTTCAGTAAGATCAACTTGTTAAATGGTTTATTTTTATGTTGATAAATTTTCAAGATGTAAAAGTGAAAGTAGTTGATATTTTAGCACTTTTATGCTCCCCAATTTGAATAAAGAAATATTTACAAAATTTCAATTATAAGTTATTTAAATTTAGCTCTTGGGATTTAAAGATATTACCGTAGCAAAACAACAAATAAATGTTCTCCAAAATTACTCTGGACGGTTTAAAGAATTGAATGTTTTTGTGAAATAAAACAAATCAGTTACTTAAAAGCGACAAACAAAATTCAGTCAAAATAATCCGAAATGTGAAATGAATCCATTAGATTGGTTAGGTCAATTATTTTTTCGTTAATTGAAGAAAAAACTAAATAAAATCCAATTGTAATCATTAAATGGGAAAAAGACGAAAGGCTATTTTTTCTGCAACAAATTCTTTACCTTTTTCGCATTGAAATCAATCATTTTTGCAGTAAATTTGCCAAATTTTTTGCCTATAGCATTGAATTTGAAGAATAAATGCGAGACTGACCTGAGCTCTTGGACGAGGGACTCGCCATGGGCGATGGTGCTGTTGCAGGCTGCCAGGGTTTGTTCTCGCTGCTGCTCGCCCTGCTGCAAAAGGCGTTCGGCGGCTTCCAGCGTTTCGGCGGCCACTTCCTCCTCTCCGTCGGCCACGGCCTGGCGCAACGTGTCGAGCCACGAGCAAAACTGCCGGCATGAAACGGATTCAGTGAATGCTACTCCGGGAGGCTGCGAGATGCGCGAACATGCGCCGTCGAGCCCGCTTTGCTTGGCCATTTTATTACTCCAAGCCTTTTACGCACTTAAAATTTATGTTTCCATCTGCGCACCAAAAGTTCCCGGAAAGTTTTAAAATTTAATTCGGAGGAGGCGGAAATTAAAAAGGAAAGAAATCGGGGTTTTGTTTCTCGCTGCTGGTGACGAAAAGGGATTAATTAAACGAGTTGGGGGTGCAGAACAGGGGTTGGGGTGTGTATAATAAAAAAAGAAGGACGCCGTCACCCCTGCGCACATTACCAAGGCCTTTAATTATTTTTGCGCTGCCTGCTTTCGCTATAATTACCGCCGTCATGCCAATTTTGCCGCGTGATGAAATTTTAACCGAAAATTGTGCGCGTCTGTAATTATGCTGGTGGTCTGCGCGAAATTGTTATTTATTTAGAGGTGGACAATCTGAATTCATTACACTAATAATTCAATTCGCGGCAGCATTTATGTTGGAGTAAAATTTCAGGCCTGTAGCAAGAGAGCTGTGGGTTATGGAAAGGAGAGAGAGTTGCAATCGAGAGCATGCAAATTAATTAGCGCTTTCAACATATAATTGGACGCAGCAGGTTTCAAGAGAAATGCGATAGGAATGGATCTGATTTGAAAAATAAATCTATAAAAACGCTTGTTTCAAATTTGAAATCAAAATATACTTCCAACAAAATCTCTCTGATCTGGTCTGGAATTCAAACGTTAAAAAATTCCTGTGCGTATGATTTAATCATTTTTATAAAAATTGTTTTCGGACAAAACTGACAGCTTCAAAAGCGGCTGGCTGCCCACTGAAAAAAAATTACTTCCGCTTGGGAAAATTTTTGCAATTAGCAACGTTGGATATTATTTTTTTTTTTTCAAAATATGATGTTCAAAAAAACTTTGAATTTGTAGTTTTCAAACCCTATTAAGTTTTTCTCAAATATTTCTAGTTTTTTAAGTAAAAATTTGAATTTAATGTTGCTGATATTGGCTGATTTTCATAAAAAATGAATGACACGCTTAGAATTGTGTGATTTTTTGTTTGAAATAAATTTTAGTTACAATTAAAGACATCTTTCTCCAATTATGATGAAAAATCGCCAGATTATAGAAATTTTCAAACGAGATCTCGTTATGATGGCATGAAATATAAAATTGTGGACAAATCAGTAATTTTTTGTTTGTAATATATTTCATAAAAATTTCATCAGGAAATAAAAATCAATTAATTAATAATAAAAAAATGGCAAATTTCAACTTTTTTTGCAAAATTTAATGGAAAATAAAAAAAAAACTGAAAAAAACCTATACAAAATTGAAATCCCAAGTTTTTTTTTTAATCCGTATTAATGAAAGTGCGGGGCTTGCAATTGAATTGAATGAGCAGCACAGCTTTGGAGAACAAACAGTGCCCCAAAGTTTTGCTCTGGCCTCTTTCGCCGCCGAAGATGAAACGCGATAAATCAAGAGGGCCGTCTATATAACCATAGATCCACTCTACGGTTGCCGATTGTCAGCAGAAATGTTTCATCTCACCTCCTTGTCCTTTTGATAGAAGGCAACGGCCAAGTCGAGTCGGTGGCGTCGCTCCTCGACTCGGGCCGCGAAACTCGCCACCCTCGTTTCCAGCTGACGGGCCACCGAGTAGATTTCGTCCGCCTTGCACTCGCCGGTCTGGGCAAGCTCCTCGGCGGCGGTCAGCAGTTTCTCCGCGTTCGTGTATGTGTTCTGCAATCACAAGGGGGGACCACGACGTTAATCACACACAAAAATATATGAAAGAGCAAAAGTATTATATATAAATCACACAAGTTATGAGAGAGCGCTCTCGAACTGGAAAAAATATCATGAGCAATTTTCTTTTTCCCACAAACCCTAAAAGCCGATTTTCCTCTCCTGAATTAAACTTAAGCAAGCGCCCAGTCCGAAATGTTTTTTACTCGACCATTTCAGCACACAAGAGCGTTTCTTTGTGCGCGGAGCTAGATATCGAATAGTTTCCATTTGGCCTTCTCGGTTATTAAGCCTGCAATTGACGACGCTCCTAAATTGGTATATGAGAATTATTCATTAATGAGAAAGCCGGTTTCTTATCATCGCCGCCCTTGACACTGATGGGCAACAAGATGCAATTCACATGTGCGTGCAAATTGAGTCTGTGGTGCGTGTAAAATTGCATTACGTCAGGATGACCTCCGGAAATAGATTTTTGATGCTGAGCATCGGAGATGAGAGCTTTTGTTTGTCTCTTCTCAGCTCGCGAAATTCACGATATGAGATAGATTTAATTATGCGCCTCTCAATTAGTCTGCATTTATTTTTCACAGAGATGATGATCATCAGAAATTTTTGGATCAAATATTCAAATAAATTTAAAACTATTTTGCATCATATTATTATTTATTTCTTAAATTAAAAACTTAAATTCAGACATGATATTGAAAAAAACAATGATGATATTCATAGAAAAAACTTATTAAAACACCCATCGAGAACAATCCAGCAACTTCAAATTCAATTCACAATTATATAAACCTGAAGGGGAACCGTTCGTTAGGTACTCAAGTGCCAATCCTTTATAACGAGAACTTTCGAAACAAAACAGAATTCATGATTTTTCAGCCACTTGAAGATCGTGCCGCACAATATTTTTATTACAACCTTGTTTGAAAGGCATATGCTTCAAAGTACTGCTACTTCTCGACTGAAATAATGATGAATTAGACGCAGCTTAAGGCCAATTAAAGAGACGATCGATATTTACGTCTGCAGATTGGATCGAAAACGGTCGAATTCTGTGCATGACAAGCCGCTCCTCTCGACAGGCGCATGATTCTTTCTCAAATGCTATTAAGTGCTTTTTTTTAAATCAGTCAACCGGTTGCTGCGAGTTTGTCTATAACGTAATCATGCGTGAGTCACCGCGGAATGGCAGGACCGATCGAATATTTTTTTTATAGATGAGGAAAAGAGCAACGTTATTTTCGCAAACTGCTTTCGGTAATGGAGAAAAACGAGAGGCTGATAGCTAATTTAGAGTGGAGCAGATTTTCAATACCGACACACGGAGTGCATGAAAACTTGCCAATAAAAGGGCCATCAATTACGAGCGGCGTATAAGTGGCGGCGGCGGCGGCAGATTCAGGCGCGCAGATTTATCCCTGACGGTGAACAAAGAGAACAATGGGAGCACAGCACTGCGTTAAGCACAACAATAACAACAACGCGATGACGAATTGTCATCTTTTTCGCCGTCTTTCTCTCTCCCTGGCTCAGTTTATCGATTGTGCGGTATGAATATATACAGGGGAGCCGCGCTTTTCTTTCTTTCACTCTCTGCTCGGAATAATAGACTGCATTTTGGCGGCGCCGGTGACGCGGAAATTCGTCATCCCGCCCAGTTTGCAAACTTTCAAAACTTGTTTTGGCGCCTGGCAGGAATAAAGTTTGCCTCCGTTTTCGAATATGGCGCCGGAAGGGATTTAGCAGCTTTCAAACGTTGTTTAATTTTGCTGGATTTGCTCCCTCCTCTGCGCACCCTCACTTTTTTCTCTCATCCAATTTGATTTTCACGTACACATTTATTTACTCGCGATTCACAATCAATCATATTTGTTGTATTCCCCCCCTCGACCGCGACCAGAACCAACAGGCGGGGGCGTCAAATTGGATCACTTATTGGAGTGCAATGTGTACGGGAAAAAAAACTAAGTAGCTCCCCCTGGAAACAATCAAGCGAATTGCAATAAAGAGCCTGTTGACAAGAGAGCAGTCACGCAAATAATAAGAGAATGTGAATTTTTTAATAAAATCAACCATTTTTGTAAATATTTGAGTTCAAATTTTTGTGGAAAAGCTTGCTAATTTTCTTTAAAATAGCTACTCAACTTGCATCTATAAATACCGGAAGATGGGGAATGTGTTTTTAAAAAACGGTTGTCTTTTGTCAAACTAAAAACTGCTTTTCCAGTTTTTCGGATTTTAAAAATGCTTCTTCAGGAAAGCATATCGCAAGGAAAATATGAAATATCTATTTTTGATTAAAAAACATGGAATATTTTAACGTTGCCAATAAAATTTTAATTCATATTTATTAAAGATTTTTTAGTGTAGAAAAAACTTTTCCAAATTTTCATCCCCTAACATTTTCTGCCAAGCAATAATCGAGTGGAGAGTTTTCCCTACATGCTTTTTTAATAACAAACGCGTTTCCAGCGACGGGGGTCCCCGAAGAGCGCAGGTTAAAAATCGACGTTGACTAATTACGCAGCATTATGCTTCTGTTTTTCATTTGTACGAAACTGGCGCGCTCGTAAATCAACCAACACAACTGCCGTGGCTGGTGAAATGAAAGGCTCCAGATTTACTAACGCGCTCAACAACAACAAACAGCAGCGCCATCGATTGGAAAAAGCAACGAGACGAGACCCCTTTTCCAAAGAAGCTTTGCAATTTTATGCAAGAACGAAGAAAAAGTTTGAATTATTGATGCAGCTTTGGTTAGCCCTCTAGCCAGACTTTTGAAAAGCTGCATTTTTCTGGAGATCGATAAATAAAGAAGGGAAGAATTTTGTTCGCGTCTTATTTGTACAACCGTTTGCGGTAATTACTCGTCCTCACAAGCATCTCATTTCGTTTTACAAAATTGCTCCCAGGGAATGTTTGTATTTAGTTTTGCTTTTCAGTCTGCAGACTTGTTTATTTACTGCAGAGGAAAGAAATTCCCCATGCACTCCTTCTTATTTTTCCACCAGAGTTGTGTATTGTACTGCATCATGTCGTTTGGCGAGGGGATGCAACCCCCGTCGTCACTTGAGGCAAAAAAGTCGAGGACCTGCGCACGATTTAATGATGATGGAAAGAGCTGCTGGGGTTGCAAGCCACTCGTTATCCGCCAAGTCAGTCGCTCTAATTTAATTAATTCGCGTCGATATCATTTACGGTCCGTGTCATCGCACACCAACGCTCTTCTGGTGCGCGCCGGGGTAAAAATTACGAGGGGTTGTAAAATTGTTATACATTTTTTTTTATATCGACCCTTTGTACCTCCAACAAGTAGCCAGAGTAAAAAAAAATTTGCTCCAAAACGGCCGCCAACATGAGAACAAGCAGAGGATAATTTTTATATTTTTAATTAGATAACTTTTTAACTTTTGGGCACTTTATAATTTTATATTATGCTGCATTATTCATTTTTTATAGATTGATTGCCATTTTAAAGAGAACCAGCAAACTTTAAATATTTTGTGAAATTTTTAATTTTAAATTTCTGCCAAACAAGCCTGTCAATTATGAACTATTTTTTTGTTATATAATAAATATTTATTTACTATTTTTCTATAACAACATCAATGTAATTAAAATTTGGCACTCTAAAACACTAATTGGGCGAAGAATAAATAAATAAACATTTGAAGCAAAAACGAAATGAATTTAATTCAACGTTGTTTGCTCTGTAATTTAGCAATTAACTTGAAATAACGAACAAATATTGAAAGTAAAAAAGTGCCTAATGCGCACTCACGACGCGGTAGGCCATACAAAAAAGGCGGCACTCGTTCCACGCTTCGCTCTCTCACACCCTAATTACAGGATTAATATTGTTCCGCGAGAACAATGCGAGGAAACAAAGCCGCGTCTTTTACATAAAATAACACCGTGTCGGTTCGAGGAGGCGAAAACGTCGCCACTTTTGTGACTGAAAATGATGCATTCCTTTTTATACGAGCGCGTGTTTATTTATTTTTCGGAGCGGCAATTACACGAATAAGAGAGGGAGGGTGACGGGAAAAGTGCACGACGTTCTTCTGGCAATCGTCACCCGAGAAATACGAGGGGTGCGCCACGGACTGCACCGACATCAAAAACTTATCTTTCGACAAGAATCGAAGGCCTGGAGGCTTTTCTCTCTCTCTTCGTTTTTTTTTTTATTCTGTCACGCCGCCGCGACTCGCAGAGATGAAAAAGCAGCTTGACGTGCGAGATGATTCGACCCTGGTTGACAAGTAGTGGAAATTATTTATCACGAAGGATGCAAATGTCGATCGCGTTAAAACCAGCATCCCTTTTATACATTCAGCAGTTTATTTTTACGACGCCACATCTCTCTTTTTTTTCTCTATATGTATAAATATATTTGGGAATTATTCATGGCTTTTCGATGGTATTGTTTTTCCAGAATGTTGGCGCGCGGATGGAAATTTTATCTCCCGAAGGCAGGGGGAGCTTATATATGAATATCACAGCGAGCGTGAAATTACGGCGGCGGCGTTTATGGATGTGACGCGCAGCGTTTGCATTTGTGTTTGTTAAAGACTCATCCATCTTCCAGATATGCATTACCATACACCGCATTTTAAATAAATCAAAACATACACACATTAATTCAGGGAGATTGATAATTTGCATGACAAAAGCGGCGTCAAGTGGCTACGTTTGTTTGCGTCGATATCTTCTCTCGCGGCTGGCGAGTCGGCAGCTTCCGAAACATTGGTTTTCATATTTGTATGTAAACGAAAGACAAAAACGACGCTTTCAGAGAGACAATTTAACTGCCTACCGGATATAAAATACATAAAGAGAAACATTAACTTGAGGACAATAAAATATGGGCGCGGTCTCCCATACTAATTACGTTTTGTAAAATTTATGAAGCTGCTACTGGGAACAGAAATCTTAAAAAATTTTGCCATTAAATTTCAATTCAATCTTGAAATGTTGAAACAAAT